CCCCTCACAAACGAATCTTTTTATTTTTCGATAGAAGTCAACCAAAATTTCAGAGAATATTAGTCTTGACTAGAATAGATTATGGTTAAAATATCTCCCCAAATCTGCAAGGCGTTCACGAGTTATAGTCAATTCATTGGTTAAAAATAGCCTTGACGCGGGCAAAGTTTTCAAAGTAGAGATTTGAGCTAAGCGTGTCGGGCTGGTTTTTAAATTGTAGAGTACACCTAGGGCTAGGTCCTATCAGAGCCCGATTTTTGAATTTTCCTTTCTTTGCTTTAAGAAAAAACTTGTTTCAAAAATTCTGAAATTTGTGGCTAAAAAATCGCTAATAAGAATCAAAGATCTAAGCTTTTTATTTAAACAAAGGAGAAATTCAAAAATCGGGCTCTGATAGGACCTAGCCCTAAGTGTCTGCTATACAACAAAAAAAACATTATCTCTTTTATATCGAGTAATTATTGACTAAGATTTGCCCGCGTAAACGATGTAGTCGAAAAAAGTGATTGTGAGAAAAACGGAAAATAAGTTTTTAAAAACTTATTTTTTCAATATGGAGGTTCAGAAAATCGTATGTAATATCCTTAAATCTCAACATAAAATCAATCAACTATAGTGCATTCGAGAGTAGACACTTTACTCTATCTAACGAGTTATAAATCACAAAATCGATAAATTTAACCGAAATTGACTTTTCTGAGGAGGGGGGGGGGGGCCTTAATATCGTTTGATTTGTTATAGATTGATAAGATGCATTTCGTATTTCAAATAAACTTGTTCCTCGAATCACTTAAAATATTGATGAATATTTTGCTCGAATAATTGAAAAATGTTCAATATCATTTTCATTTGATTCAGGATCCTTAAAAGAATATATATGATTATTTTAAATGTTTGGCAATAAATGATAGTTTCGATCATGACTCAAAATTAAAATATAAACCTTTTATATATGTTTTGATCTTTCGAAAAATGATTGATCAATAAAAAGAAATTTTATTTAGAAGTGAATCAGCACGTATTGCAACATATCATCATTTTGAAAACTCGTTCAATTTCGTTTTAGTCCTAGTGAATAATCTTATTTTTGTCTTTGGTTTTTTTTTTCAGTGATATGAATGATTATCCAAGATCAGCATTATTTTCTAAATCTTGCATGAATCAGATTCATTTTTAAAAACAAAATCAAAATCTATTGTGGAGGACGCAAAAGTAAACAAATCGATAGTAAACCGAAGCAGCTAAAATATGAGATTGTAATTATCTCGATTTTTTGCGGGAGATAAATGTTTTTGTTCTAACAGAACATAAAAAAGAGAGAATATTTCAGTTCTATTGAAGAAAAATAACGCGTTTTCGACAATGACGAAGGAGACGATGTTGTACATTCGAAAAGGTCAATTTGCTCGTCAGATCACTAGAAAAACAAATCTGTAAAGAACGTAAAAAATAGTTCTTTTATTCAATTTTTCATCAAGGTTATTGTTTGTTTTTAGACTGATCGTTGTAAATATCTTTTTACTTCTCATTCCTAATGCGAATAGAAAAATCATGGTATATCTCAAATAAAAAGGTTATTATCGATACATATTATTTACCTATATTGATATAAATTGAGATGATTTCATAAATTATCTTGATAGATAAAATTATATTGGAATAAAATTTTACAGAGTCAAATATGAATGATTAGTTTTGTATATCTATCCAACAGAAAGATACCAGTTATTAGTTCTCATGGTTATGTTTATATGAATTTATTTAGTCGTTGTGCATAGTATCACAATTTTTGTTGTTTTAATTTCTTTTAATCAGTTATTGTTGGTTAGGAATCAAAATGTGTATCAGTCAAATAAATAAAAAACTTAGAAATATATGAAAAAGTAGCATGTCGCGATATCACAAGTGTATTGATATTATCTGTATTATTTTTACATTTAAAACTTTTACTACATTTTTTCAATACTCTGTGTAGAAAATAGCAATGCAATATTACTATTAATTCACTGTTGGCAAGTTTTTTATCAATTCTGATATGAGCTTAGTAATGAGTGTCAAATTTATGTAAGTTAAAAACAAATATAATGATCAAATTAAGTATTGATGATATCATCTTTCTCTATTCAAACAAATACATCAAGCATACGATTCAATTATCGTGTTTTTTTTTATTTTTGAATTTCGAAAGTAAGAAAGATTCATGTCTTCAATATCTTCACCAGTTTTAGCTAAGAAACTATGAGTGATTCTTCTCATTATTTGCCAACTATATGCAAACAAAAAAAAAATTGAATATGATTTCTTGATGAATCGTAGAAATTAATAAAAGAAGAGCAGCTAATATAGTACAAGAAAACAAAATTTCTTTTTATTATACATATAATACGAATGAATAAAAATCAAGAATTACTCTAGCAAGATTGTGAGTGACGATCAATTCATTCTACACATGACAAAACTTAAGTTTTTGGGTGTTTCTAGATGCAATTTGGATGATAACTGATATAAAACTTTTGCTTGTTTATTGTTATACTAATATGTAAAATCTACATTTAAATGTTCCATTCATTTTGAAATTGGTGATAATTACTTCGATGTTTCATAATTTTTAAATTTCAATAACAGTCTATTTGGCCAGTAGAAATCGTTATTTAACTATTGCCTCAATTAAAATTGAAATTATATTTTTTCTTGTTTCGTTTACATTATCAGCATGTCAATCATATGTATAATGAGAAAAAATAATCACACTAACGCTGTCCTTGCTGTCGTTGTCGTTCTTGTTGGAGAGAACGAAACAAAATTATACAACGTATAAGACAAGGTATCTAATGCAATGAAACTCCAGTCACGCTTCATATGACACGTAAATGAAAGTGGGAAAAAAATATCATACGATCAATGATGTTGTGGGTTTTTTTCCCTTTAATTTATTTTTGATAAGCGTACCTTCAATTACTAATAGGCATATTTTGTTATTGAGTGTCAACGAAAAAACACAATATTCATATTTGACGTCAGAGAAAAATCCGGAAAAAAACAACGTGCATCAAATGTATAAATACAAAAGGTAAACTTTGTCCAAACAGCCATTTATTATTTAAGACACGCAATTACCTATCGCACACAAAATATCACATAAAAAATGAGTCAACAACCAAGACGACGCTTTCCTGAAAACTACATGGTTATTTGGGTTGATGGAAATATGGATTTGACCAATAAAGATTACCAAAATACAATGGACCAACTGCGTAGCGTCGTGAACCAAGTCAGTCTGTGTACAACAGCTGAAGAATGTATTCAACAGCTGAATGAAAATCCTGAAGAGATATCATTTGTTATCTCCTCAGGTGCACTTGGACAACATCTTGTACCAAGCATCCACGGCATGACAAAATTGAATGCTATATTCATATTTTGTCGTAAGAAAGAACAGCATCAAGTATGGGCCCAAAATTGGGCAAAAATCAAAGGTGTTCACACAACAATCAAACATATTTGTGAAAAATTGGCCATAGCAACCAAACAATGCAATCAAGATCATATGTCGGTGAGCATTGTTAGTGTGAATGCAGGAGGTTCTAGTAAGAATCTAGATCAGCTAGAACCTTCTTTTATGTATTCGCAAATATT